ACCTGCTCCTATGATAAACAGCATGTGCATCTAGATCATCAGCAGACTAAGTTAGACAAAAGTCCAACTGGCAAAATGTTACATGATAGTTGATAAGAAGCATGTTGTTAACCATCTGGACGGAAGCCGACCAAAGTCCACAAAAAAACTTTCGTTTGTATTTAATTTTTAAGCCCTAAACGCTTTGATGACCAAACCCTGTGAAGTGTCAGCAAAATGAAAATAGTCACCTTTGCAACCTACAGCGCCGCATACCAACTGCGAGCGTACCGGACCTTTTTCGCAACCAATTGCAAATCACAGCGGAAGCCTATTGTCAGATTACGTGCCGTCCGACAAAAGGTCACCTAGGACCTTCCGATGCAAACAGTCAAGTAGACTGACTGTCAACGCACATTTCGGACACGGAGCGCCTCCGGTGAACATCTAGGAGCAACTTTCTTCGGCTATATACACATTACTGAAAAGTGGATTCCCCTCAGTATCAACCTCGAGCACACGAAGTCGCCGCAAAGATCACTGTCGTCATCGCTGGTAGCAACTGCCCCAGGCACTCAGCGGCAACAGCACCTTCCTGTCATTGCTGTCAACGCTCATTTGCGTCCCGCATTGTACCTGCTGGGGAGATGTGATTTAATCGTAACGAGTTTGACTGGTCCCACGTAAGCTCACGTCAGTTTCTTCATGGTAATTGCTTTAAACCACACCCAATCTAACCAGGTGTGCTGAAGTTATTTGCATTATCATCGTATTGCAGACACCCTGCGATTTCATCAAGCATTATGAAGCTGTGTGGCTAACTAAGGTTCCCCCAAGAGGGCTACATACTGTACCCTTGCCGAGTCATTCATCGGGCACCAGCAAACGACTCTAAAGGCCTACACAAACGGGTGCTAGCAGCAGCTCAGTCATCATTCTCGTCCTTCTGACCCCTTTTGGCGTGTTGTTGCTTATGAAAAATCTTGGTTATTTATGTGTGTTGTGGACCAGGGCGGTTTGGTGCACGCTATGATGCGGGTCCGGCCGTATCAGCCACCAGCGCCCTCTTCCGCTTCCAATCTTCTTGGTTCTGTCTCGATACGGAGTCCAGTTGGGGAGTGGGGAAGGGAGAGTGCGGTAGATGCCGTGCAAGTCTGCTTTGACTGCCAATAGAAGCGAAGAGACGAGTCCCAGGAAAGAATCTTGAAGAAGAAAACACGATTGACAGGACAAGAGCTTTATTTGCCTGACGTTTCGCATTTCTGATCGTATCCATCAGCACAGACAACAGCAGATACGGATGATACACGCACAAGGGACTGCAGCATTTATAGGATGCAGTCGCCATGCTACCGCATACCTATGAACATTCACGGCTCCCCCCTTCATGCGGGATCGTCGCACTTGGTGTGCTAATTGTTTTGATGGCTAACATCCGCGCAGTTAATTGCTGCAATTTCATCTCGTGCGTCGGATGTTGGTGAGATGATTGCTCGACCATCTGACGCACCGACCCTGGTGTTGAGAAAAGTCTTCAATTGTGAGCCCCCGCGTGGCTAATTACTTCGCCCAGACGAAGTCTCAGCACGGAGTATGGAAGCAGAAGTTCATTGCACTTGTTGATTGGTTGGATCTCGTCAAATGAGCCGCAACTTGAGAGCTGGCATCATTTCTCCACACCGTTGCAGCGTCTTCGGCCATTCTCGTTCGGAGCTGTCTTCCGGTTTCTCCGACATAGTTGCTTTGTTAGCAACTGCACCAGATCCAATAAACGACTCCAGATGTTTGTTGCCGTGACAGTGGGTCTTTCGGTTTCATTAACTGATGCCTGATGGTTGCCTCCGGTCTGTGTGCAACTCCAACGCCAATTGGTGCGAGAAGGCGACCAACATCTTCCGAAACGTTCTTGACATATGGAAGCGCTCGCCAAACTTTGGTGTCCGTGCGTTTAGGCCTTTCGTCCCTTGTGCATATGCACCGGTTGACAAAGTTGCGCGGGTAGCCATTGGCTTTGAATAACCGTCGGAGTTATTGTATTTCGGCAATCTTGTCTTCCGGCTCACTGCAGTGCGTTTCGACACTCCGATAAGGCGTCCTCACTCAACTGCGTTTGTGGCTGCTTGGGTGGTTGCTGTTGAAGTTCAGCACTTGCATCGTATTTGTCGCTTTCCTGAACAATTTGGTGTTTGATCTACTACAATCTTTGCGGCATACGAGGACATCCAGGAAGGCCAGCTGGTTGTTCTCTTCCTCCTCCATCGTAAATTCAATTTCAGGGAAGACGGCGTTGAGATGTTCTTTGAATGCCAGCACCTGATCCCGTTCGATGACGACGAAGGTATCATCCACATACCGGGCCCAGAACTTTGGTTTGTGGTGTTGGAAGACCAGAGACTCTAACCGTTGCAGGACCACCTCGACGACTCTCCGTTTCATCGTATTTGCTTTGTAGTAGCATCTCAATTGTCTCGATGCCAGGTCCTGGGGAATAGAAGTAAAATGGGATACCATGACATCATTTGGATGGAGGCTTACCCTTTGAGTTTCTCCAGGAATTGTGGTGACGAAGAGATCGTGGTGTCTGACTCAGCGGTCAGGAAGTTGTGACGCCGGAACAGCCACTTAGCCAGTCTGTACGTTGGAGACCCTTTGAGCGACACGATGAGTCTGGGTGGAGCGCAGACTTTGTGCACCTTAGGGAGGCCAAAGCCGTATCTTGGGGTCTCGCCATGTTCCTGCCGGTCGGTGCTTTTGGACTTGAGTCCTCCAAGTCCAAGAACGTAGCATTAATTTCGCGTGTCGGCGCCTTTTCCAGGGTTCGTTGCACATGGGACATAGAACTGTCAATCCTCCAGTAAACCTTTGAAGGTCTGAAGGTAGTCTGTCCTGTCCAGTACAACCGTGGAGCGCCCCTTTTCTGCCGGCCCGATGACCAGGTATTTAATGGCCTTTAGTTCTCTAAGCGCATTACGTTCGACCCTGAAAAGCACTTCCCGTGTCCTGTGGGCCATTAAGAGAGACGACACTTGGTGTCGGATGAGGTTCTTAGTCTCCGCAGTTTCAGAACTTACTCGGAGCAGGAGATAGAGCTAAGTCTCCGTGACATGACCATTTGGGATCAGAACCTAAAATTCAATGAATATTTGGGTAGAAGACAATCGACTCTATGTCCTGCACAGAGAAATTTCTGAAATTATTTACTTGTTTATTCTCTGGAAATCATATACCAGGAACCGCATAAGAACGCTGGGAGTTCCACTGAATAGCCGAACTCCTCGCAGGTACGTCACGCGGCAGAATATCGGCGAAACAACTGTCTCGGCTTTCATGTACTAAGTATGTTGGAAGCACGGTATAATACGTTAAATATATCTCTAAATAAATAGATATATATATATATCCCGTTCATCATCCCCAAAAGAAGACGAAGAAGAAAAAGGGGCGATTGCATGGACCACAGTGTATTGGTGCTGACGTTTCGGAAACTTCCTCGTTTCCATCATCAGAGTGGTGGGGTGTCTGTTCCTGCTTGCTCGAAGTTGTTCTGCCTCGCCGCCTGTCTTGTGTTATAAGCATGCCTGACGCACGAACTCTGAACTGCCTTCTGGCTGGGGATTGGCTTTGGTTCCTCCGCGGGTGGCCAATGACGCGCTCCTGTGACCTCTGCCCTCTGACCGGCTGTCGTAATCGCTGCCAATCCTGTGTGCCCATGGGCCCTCACCTCATAATCGGATGGACCGATCAGTTGCCGTTGCATGTGCGAATCACGCTCGGCTGTCTGGGCGCGCCGGTGGGGCGATGTCTCGCGTTCGTCGTGTGACCTCCGGCTGGCTCCTTCCCCCTGCTGTGAAGGTGACAATTGTTGGAGGAGCCGCGACTCGCTCGCCAGTACTGTCGGCCCCGTCTGGACTGACTGGAGTCTTGTACGCAGCGCCTGGTAGGCCGGATGAAGATCAATAGCCCTGTTGATTGTGCCAACTGAGGACCAGCTTTCGAGCACCAGCCTAGCCATCTTGTCATGGGCTCGACTGAGGACGCTTGCTTCCCCAAAGGCGAAACTATGTTTCTCCTGTTGCATGTGGCCATATACCAGTGACAGTTTATCCTCGCGGTTGACTGCAAGCTGGTGCTCATGCAGTCTTGTGCAGAGGCGTTTCCCCGTTTCACCAACATACCGTGCATTGCAATTTTGGCACGGTATGCTGTAGACCACTGCTGATTGTTCCGTTGCCGGTAGCGGGTCTTTGGGTCTCATTATCTGCTGTCTGATGGTGGATTCCGGTTTATGGGCCACCTCAATCCCAAAAGGGTTTAGGATTCTAGCTGTCGCCTCGGAAACATTCTTCACGTAGGGGATCGCCAGCCAAAACTTCGGCTTCTCACCGTCTGATCGCTGACGGGTAGTCTTTCGTCGGCACTCGCGTATGAAGGATCGTGGGTAACCATTGGCTGTGAATAAGGCATGTAGATATTTTGTCTCCTCCTTTTTCCCGTCGTCGTCGCTACAGTGTGTTTGAACTCGTTGGAAGAGGGTTCTCACACAACTTCGCTTGTGACCAATAGGGTGGTTACTTCGGAATTGGAGGATGCGTCTGGTATTCGTCGCCTTACGGTATACCGTAGTTCTTATCCTCCCATTAACCGTCCTTGCAACATTCACGTCGAGGAAAGGCAATTGGTTGTTATTCTCCTCTTCCATTGTAAATTGGATGTCGGGGAATATTGAGTTCAGTAAGACCTTGAAGTTCAAGGTGATCCACACTTGGGGTTGGGTATGACTGGCTGATGACGGCTAATAAGCCAGAAATGGCCATTCCGGTCTCCTTTGTCTTTGTCTGCTCCATTCATCTATGTCTACTATTAGTCGCTGTGCGACTGCCTGCGAGGGTTTAAGTATGAGCCCCAAGGCACAACGGACCGAGCATGTTCCGTCACCTGATCGGCGTGCGCCCACGGTCAGCCGACTTCACTGTCCACTCCGAATCCTTGGTAAGGAAACAAAGTCGCTGGTACAGCCACTTTCACAGCCCAAAGGTTGGAGTACCACGTAAGGAGACGATGGGGCGTAGCGGCACCCCCTGCTTGTGGACCTTTTGTAGGCCGTAGAAGCGCGCAATCGCGGTATCACTGGCTTTTGCGGCCAACGCTTCCCTTCTCGTAAGAGCTCCCGCCTTCCTCAGCTTGCCGATCGTATTGTTTATGCTGTTTACGAGCTTCTTAAACTCGCTGACGGTCGATGGCGCATAAGCTTCCTTGTCCATCAAGAGGCTGCCTAGTTTTGTGCAGTACTCAGCCTTATCCATGACGACAGTCGAGCGCCCCTTGTCGGTGGGCAGGGTGACGATATCCTTCATTTTTCGTATCTTCAGAAGTTCTCGATCTTCTGCTTTAGAAATCGTCATCTGGCGTTTGTGTTGGAGGAGTAAGGTCGACACTTGTTGTCGCATGGCGTTTTTGCACTCCTCGTCTGCCTCACACTTCTGGAGCGCCGATTCAAAGGATGCAATAAAGTCTTCTGGTTGAGCATCTCTTGTGCTGAACTTCGCGTCAGAGGATAGAACCGCTAGTTGTTGCTGAGTGAAATTATGAGAGGACAAGTTGTGAACCAAGGCACCGTCAGCAGAGGGCTGTTTTGGCGGACTTATTTTCTCAAATTTTCCAGACAACTGCATACGAGCCTAAAAAGACCAATCTTCCAGCAAACGAAACGCTTAGAACAACTTCTACAAAGGCTTAGTCTCACTTCGAAATTAGACTTTAGCTGTACCTTTGCTTCAAAGCATTAGCTTAAATTTCTGTTAACAGTAGTACCTGGGTTTCTGTTGTCTAAAGTCTCGAAACAGTCGCTTAGATTTCCGTTGCCTAAAGCTTCCCTGACATCTGAAAGCCATAGGCCTTCTTTTGATTGTGTCTGTCTTCTGCTGCCAACCTTTCGGCCGTTGTTGTATCCTTGACTTTTGCGCATTGAGACATGGGATATGTAGAAGTGTACTATCCATCAGTTTCGCGTGATGAGAAGAAGACGTGGAGAGCAGGAATCGAACCTCCGACCATCGCCTCACGAGGCGAACGCCTAGACCCCTCGGCCATCGGCACCGATGTATGACCTCAAAGAATATTAATTACATTAGCCCCACGGTTGGGGAATGTGTCGGATTTTGCCATGAACATAGTGCCCTAGCAACTCCATGCGGACCAGCGTCGATTCACGTCGGGCAGGGAGGATCTAACGAACGCAGTACGCCAGAAGTGGTTCAAAACAGGACGGAGGTGGCCCGCAACGCAAATTATCCCGGGAACTTCGCTACGCCTACACAAGATTTTCTACCAGATGATGAACCTTCAAATTGTGGTTCGCGGTGTAAATATTGTCGAGATCTCGCGTTAAACATTACGCCGTTGGAGACGAACATGAACCCCCTTATAGATCTCATTGCATTGTTACTTAAGTATGATAAATGCAGGTCAATTGATGAATTCAGCAGCAGCCAACAGATAGTTTCGAAACTGACAGAGTTGACTAACAGCAACCCACTAGTAGAGGGATCATCGTTTCAGGAGATCGCTGGCTGCAGAAATAAACAGAGTGCTAAGAGAAAAGGTAAACGGAAACATGAACATACAGCCTCACCCTCACCAAGAGCGATGGTAAACGACACTCCAAAATCGCAAACTAGGTTGCGAAGTGATAATGGCAGTACACTCTCATCATTGATAACTACCCAGCTGAAGAACAATGACCAGCTCACTGGCAGAGTAGAAGCTAACCGATCTCCACCACAGAAGAAGGTAAAAGGATTCGACATAGAAAAGACTACCGCATGGACGGAAACCTGAGAGGAAATCGCGGAGAATATGACAAGGCATGATATTAATCCGCCGCAGAAGAGCTGAAAGCAGACGATCACCGCCCCCCGCAATGTGACCGAGGAGAACAAAGGAATTAATAATAAGACTCAGACCGTTCACATGCAACTGAGGTCACATCAAAATAAGCAGTTAAATCAAAGGGGACTGACGACTGAAAAGAGAGAGACAGAAATCGGACGACTTCGGAGTACTCGAAGAAAGGAACTTCCTAGGGTGGAAAAGCAGAGCTCGTCTGAGCAATCGACAGAAACCTCCAGCGCCAGCGTAGACACAGACGCGGCAAATGCAAATATCCTCTATATTGACATAAAAGGCAGGAGCAGTATTGCCCCAAACACGATACCATTAGCTGCAGAAAAGATCCCTGGAGTGGATGGCAACCAGAATGTCATCATGAATGGTTCGCCAGGAACTCCCAAGTCACCAACATCACACAACCAAGACCGGCCGCTCCGAGAACAGTGCCTAGTAATACAGGGACTTCAGGAGCCTCAAGCAGATACACCTCAAGGACGCGTATTAGCTGATCTCGGCTTGTTCCAAGGTCTTCTAAACACACTGCTTCAACCCGACGAAGAAATTTCCGTGTTGAAAGCCTTCAGACTCGGAAAGCGCTCTACTGAACCCGCTATTCCATCGCATCCTAGGCCCCTTAAAATTGTTCTGAGTTGCAAAGAACATGTTGATCTTATCCTCTCAAGACGTTTTAGGTTAAAATATTCCCACCAAGGAGTTTTTTTAAGCCGGATTACACACCACCGGAGCGGATAAAAGGCCGACAGTTAGTTCAGGAGCTAAGGCTGCGAAAAATGAATGGCGAACAAGGCCTGGTTATCTACAACAACTGCATAATCGAGCGACCGTCCCGCTTCATATGGACACGGCCCGTGCGTATGTCGGCACAGCCGAGACAACTGGCAAAGGCGGCGTCATAGCCGGCTTACCAAAGGAAAATAGCTAAAATGCTTGTATTCCAATGCGCAAAGTCTGCTATCTAAATAAGATGAGCTTAAAATCTACGTTAACCAAACCTTACCCGATGTTATATCCATAACTGAAACGTGGCTGTCCGCGAGCGTAGACGATCGCGAAGTCGCTTTATCTGGTTATCACTTGTTCAGAAAGGACAGGTTGGGACGTCAAGGTGGAGGTGTGCTCGTGTATGTCAAATATGGCCTTTTTGCGTCAGCAAAAGAGGCACAGCTCGCGCGCACAACTGAAACAATTTGGCTCACCGTCAAAACGCCGGGGTCACAACCTCTCGAGATCCTGACGGTCTACCGCCCACCGAGGAACGACCCGCAATCAGACAGTAGTCTACTAGAGGAATTAGAAGCCATTTCGCTCCGACCCAATGTCATGATTATGGGCGACTTTAACGCTCCGAATATCGACTGGAATCTGACTTCTGCCCCGGGCTCAGAATTTAACTTTGATCGCCGCCTCCTAAAATCTGTGCAAAGATCGCATCTCACACAACACGTCTTATCCCCAACCAGACTACGTGAAGGACAACTAGCTAACTGCTTAGACCTTGTATTGACACAGGCACCGGAAAGCGTTGATGTTGTAAAATGTCTACCCCCTCTCGGAAAAAGCGACCATGTAGTCCTACAGTCGGAGTATTCTCTCTTCTCTGTACCCGATCAAAGCATCGTGATTAGACGCAACATATGGCGTGGTGACTTCAACCAAATGCGTCTCGACATGCGTCGTAGAGACTGGAAAGCAGCATTTACGGGGAGTGTTCTCAAGGACTCGCTAGAACTTAAGGCCATACTGAATGAACTTATCACCAGATACTGCCCTATGTCGAAAAAGAAAATCACCAGCAAGCCCCGATGGCTAAAGGGTTCACTAAAAGTTGAAGTAAACCGTAAGCAAAAGCTGTGGAAAGCATATCTTAGGGACAAGACAACTGAATCAAGAAATAGGTATAAGGCTCAGCGGAATAAGGTAAAGTGCCTTGTTTACAAAGCCCGCCCAGACTTCGAAGGCAACCTTTTAAACTGTGCAGCAGGAAACCCAAAGCTTTTCTTCAACTATATAAGACAAAGTACTCGCAACAGGGATCCCATCCCTATGCTAAAAATTGATGATGGCGTTGAACTTTACAAGGACGACGAAAAGGCTGAGCATCTGTCCAGGTTCTTTCAGTCGGTTTTTACGAAAGAAGTCGCTGTACCCACTGATCACTGTAATGTGGACAATGTCCCGACAATTGACTCAGTAGTACTCACAAAACCTATTGTTCAACAGGAATTACTGAACCTAAAAGAATGGACCTCGCCCGGTCCTGACGAAATACCGGCAAAGTTGTTGAAGGAATTAGCCACAGAATTGGCAGAACCTCTGAGCGTCCTCTTCCAAGCCTCTCTTGATGCAGGCAGACTGCCTCCTGCGTGGATTTCACCGATTCATAAAAATGGCAGTCACGCTTCCGCAAACAACTACCGACCAGTAAGCCTCACCTCCATATGCTGCAAAGTTATGGAGCGAATAATCAAACGCGAACTGATGCGGTTTTTAGAGCAAAATCATCTTCTGTGCGATGCACAGCACGGTTTCCGCAGAGGGAGGTCCTGCTTAACCAGTCTACTCTACTGTCTTGAACAGTGGACCCGAGCGATTGATGAAGGAAACGTTGTGCATGTGGCCTACATGGACTTCAAGAAGGCCTTTGACAGCGTGCCACACCAACGTCTCCTACACAAGCTCAGCCGCATAGGGGTAAGAGGCAAGCTTTTGAAGTGGATTGAAAACTTTTTGGTCGGTCGGTCCCAGACTGTTCGTCTTGGTGGCCAGCACTCGGCAGAGGTGACGGTTACTAGTGGAGTACCTCAGGGCTCCGTTCTTGGCCCTATCCTCTTTCTCATCTATATCGATGACTGTATCCATGGATTGGACTGCGAAATTGCCATGTTTGCTGACGATATAAAGCTTTGGACCGTCATCCGCAACGAGGACGATGAAGCAAATTTACAGGCAAACTTAGACCGACTCGAAAATGGTCAGGCCACTGGCTCCTCCCATTTAATGTTACCAAACGCAACATTCTGAGGATTGGCAGAACCAGCTCTGCGTAGACGTACTATCTAAATCACACACCGCTGCCACTGGTAGAGGTTCAGAAAGACCTAGGGGTGTGGATAACATCTTCACTAAAGCCATCATTCCACTGCTTGAAAGGAGCGAAATCCGCAATGTCCAGCTTATATCTCATTAAGCGGGCATTTGCCAAGTTCGATGAAGAGTGCTTCCGCAAGGTCTTCGGGATGTTTGTGCGCCCACAGTTAGAATTTGCCATTCAGGCCTGGAGACCCTGGAATGTTAAGGATCGTACCACCCTCGAAAAAGTCCAACGACGGGCAACCAAGCTTGTCAGAGGTCATAAAAACCTACCTTACGGAACCAGACTTTCAAATATTAACCTCTTTCCCCTGGACTACAGACAACTCCGCGGCGACTTAAATCAAACTTTTAGAATATTACGGGGTCAGGACTGCTGCCTCGCATCCGGCGACTTCTTTGAGCTGGCCACCACTACTAGCTTGAGAGGACATCCTCTGAAACTACGTGTGATAGGAGCGAGACAGGACGCAAGGAGGTCCTTCTTCAGCCACAGAGTGCTAAAGGCATGGAACGCCCTGCCTGTGGATGTCGTCATGTCCCCATCCGTGGACTCATTTAAGAGAAAGCTTGACCAGTACAGGGATATGTACCTCCACAGCATCAGAAACTAACAAAATCACCCCTGTGCCACCCGCCCCATCCAACGTTTTATGTTACAAAGCATGCTACTCCCTATATTTTAGTAACATTACGTTTTACAATTTTCGCTATCTCCTGACCGCCACATATGCGCTTGCTTTGATATTACATGGTCCATTCATTGCCGTACTGGATATTGTACAATTTAGACATAGAAGGCATTCACAGGCAAATTCATACCAGTGACGAATGCTTGTTGTATGTAACTACTTAACTAATTTTTTCACACTTGCCTTACACATTGTTTTTTTATGACGCTATTGTAACCAAAAGGGACTTCAAAGGCGCTCAACTAATATTCCATTAATAAATCTGATCTGATCTGATATGATCAATCAAACGGCGGTGACGCCGAGCGCTGTCGAGAATTGCCGCTTTGAGGACCTCTAGTTCGTGTGCCGTAAAGATCGACTGGCAAGTTGACGAATGATGTTCAATCATCTGGCGGTACTTGTGGATGCGGGAGTGGCACTCTCGTATCATTACCCTGATCATTTTCTTCTTGAAGTCTGCCATCGTCCGTCGGCAAAGGTCAGAGTACACAGGCGGTCTATATCTGAGGCATTTCGGTAGGACGTCCTCATCAAGGCACCTGTGCAGGAATTTCAGCTGAGCGTAGGTGGAGGACTCCCGCTTCGCGAATGTCTCCAATCTGCGTGCTGAGCGGAGGGCTGTGCGCCCATAGCATACATCGATATGCCTAAAGATTCAAGGTCCAGATATTGTATCGCCTTCATCATCTCCCGAAGAAGACAAATAAGAAGAGAGGGCGAATCTATGGACCATATTGTATTCGAACTGACGTTTCGGAAACTTCCTCCTTTCCATCATCAGAGTAGCGTAATTGTTGCACTCGCGGGTCT